CTGGGGTTGATGAGTTCCCTCCCCTCTCGACTTGTATGGTTGCGTGACTTTTACTTATTTTAATTATTTGTATTTCGTCTTATGTTCCCCTTTTTCCCCTTTTGAATTGTTCGCCACCCTGAGTCCTCCCGGAGAAGGGCAGCATACAAATAATAAAATTCAATTCAAATTCAATTCAATTCAACCTCCAAAAACTGCTTAAAGCCATGCCCCATTCTCCACATGATTTTCAAAGGCTTTGGAGGCTACACAAGAGCATACCCCATTCTCGCAATGCCTCCACAAATAGCATAAGAAAGGGCATGCTTTTGATAATAATAGTCAGTTGTTGGCACTTTTGGTGTGTCCACTTGGATATGCATATGTTCGTCATCAGTGTCCTAGCTTATATGTTAGAATTAAAGCATATGAACCTGGGATTCAAACATTTTTTACTACTGTTCTGTGGGCGTGGCTTTGTGGGCATGGCAGGGGAAGGATACTTCAAAATTCCTATTCCCTCCCCAACACACTAACCTGGTTTCCAACTCCGGTCTCCTGTTCAGGGCAACAAAAGAAGATCAGCTGGGAGGCAGCGGGGCGGGGCCAGCCTATTTTCCAGTTCTCTGAACTACTCAAAATTTCCGCTACCGGTTCTCCAGAACCTGTCAGAACTAGCGGCATACCACCTCTGATATGAACATATGGACTTTATTTATTTTTGTACTTGCAATTCTTTACCTGAAATCTTTGTTACTCTGACAGTAGTCCCCTATGAGCAATTGCTGTTACTATGTACTTTACTCACTGCTTGCTGAATTATTTCATCCTATGCCTTTTGTGGGCTTCTTGCTAGAAATTTCTATGCTGATTTATTCCACCATGAATGAAATGAAAATGTAATGAAAATTGTGGTAATATGTTTTTTTTCACCACTGGTTTTGGAACTTGGTCTAAAGCAAACCTTGGCTGAAATACATCTAAAACAATTTCTTTCATCTCAGTCAAATTTCATACTGTTTCTTTGCTGGGGTCATACATGGTGTTAATTATTAACTTTAGCTCATGTTCCAATAGCATTAATATTCAAATAAAGTGAGCTGTAAAACTGAGAAGTGAGAAAAATGTATATGAGGAGAAACAAGACGTACAGCAGATTGATTTTAACTGCAATGGATTTTACTAAAACTGAATTTTGAACTGTAAAAGAATGTGGCATGAAAATATTATTTATATAATGAAATGGATAGCCTTTGATCGGAGTGATCAATAATAGTTCGATATATTTCTATATGTACTTGAACATAATAGTTCCATAAGAAAGTGAAAGATAAAATTATTCAGATTGTGAATGAAATAATATTGACTATCAAGATAATTATTTAGTATTTGAATATATATATATATATATATATATATATATATATA